CAAGTTCTTACTACATTGCTGAAGCTGACATCAAACTTCGGATCCTCTGGCCTCTGCCTCCCTGCTCACATATGCCACGACTCCTGGATGTTCTTCTCAAATGTTTGCTTTTATGTCTGTTTTCTTTCCTATTGCTTAGGAATTGTGGAGAAATCCAATAGAGAAATTGTAATAGAAAAACCTAAAGCATATAAAACCAGTATTCCTTTAGAGCAATCGCTACCAGGAAAAGAGGTAAGAAACTTTAGTCATACATAATATTATCATCCTATGTCTGTGATTCCATTATGAATCAAAATGTCTTGAATTTTCCTTTTTTGCCACTAGAAAGGAATTTCTGATTGAAAGTTGACTTGTAAGTTTTTGACAAAAATTAATTTAGTAGGGTCACTATTCTTTTGCGCAATCTGTTTCATAAGAGGAGTAGAGAGATGGAAGTTAAGAGACCTTTGTTCCCTATTCTGACTCAAGGTCTGCATTTTGAGAATATAGGTTGTAAATAATTGTTGAAATATGAGAAAGTGGAGATTTAAAAAAGAAAGGAAATAATAGTTTGATCTGATCACCTATGTTTACGTACCCAACCTTTGCTTGTTTATTCTCAATATCCATTACTATTCTTCTTCTGCTCTGCTTTTTAGAGAATTACATCTGCCAGGATCTTTTGCTTTCTGGAATTTAGAAAGCAAAGGGAATGTCTGGCCAATTAAAGGCATCCATACAAGACTGGAATGTAGTATTTGCAGAAAACCAGTTCCTACCTCCCTGCCCCCTCCACCTCTGGCAGTGGCTGTGATTCCTTTAGCTCTTCCCTTGACCCTGCTCCTACCAAGCAGCCCTCTCTGCATGATTCAGGTTCCACAAAGCAGGTCTGCCTTGGGTTTAGCTTCCACTGGGAGCCCAGGATCTAGTTTACCATAGCGCTATCCTTTTTCTTTGCTCCTCCAATCTTAGGGTTGGTTGTGGCTTCCTCATGTATTAATATCTGTTGTGCTTTACAGCCCATGTTTGGCTAGTCAGATCTTCCATCTTTCATCTTCTAGGAAACCAATACCCTACATTAAATTCTTCCTTTTGAAATACCTTGAGTGTTTTCTGTTTTCTTGATGAATCCTGACTAATATACAAGGTAAATATTTTATAAAGCAAAAGGATGAATTTTTTTTTAACAATGTCAATCTAGAAGGCAAGGGAAATAATAAGGACAATTCAAAGTTATACATTGTGTCCTAACCAAAAATCAAAATTAGTACTAAGATTAGTACTAGGTCATTGAAAATAGGGATTTGGCACATAACTAATTTGTACACAGAACAGGATGCCACATGATCTTTTTCTCCCCCTGGATCAACTGTTAAATGTTTCTGTTCTCACTATAATTTGTGTGATGCCAAATACCATATGAGAAGAATGGAGATAAAAAATGATCTTCCAAGAAAACAAGTAGACTTTAGAAAGCTTCAGTAATTAAAGGTTTCAGGTTTTTTTTTTTAATAGTGACTACTAATGTGCTTTTTTCCCCCCTAAATTTTGTAAAGAAAATTTAGATGGACCCACAGTATTGTCATCTACAAATAATCATGGGGAAAGGTAATCATCACTGCATCCAAAAAAATGGAAGGGAATATCATTATAGCAACAATAATTAATGGCCATTTTTAGTGGAACATATTTCCATAAATGAATTAATGAATGAGTTCAGTGAAAATATATGCCCTACTGGGGAAACAAAAATTACAGCTTTAGTTGTTTGTTTTCATTTTCATGGAGATCAGTTCCTTTTTACATTTTTATCTTAAATGTATTCCAAGGAATTACTGTTATGGCAGAGGGATATAGCCATTCCACTTCTGAAACTTTACTTGTAAGAAAAGAGATTCTAAAAACTTAGTAGATAGAACTTAATAGTTGATTAATTTTATGCAAATATTAGAGAGACATGCTTCAGACCTATGATGTTAAAGATCCAAATAAAATTTAGACAGACAAGTTCAGTTACATAGTAAGTATAGTGAGAATAAGAGCCCCATTTTCTGATTATAGACATGGAATCATAGAATTATAGCTCTAGAAAATAAATCACCTTTATTATTTTGTACTGTATATATAAAAGCATTACATTAATGCTGAATGGGGCATACATAAAAAAATTAGGTTAATAATCATAATCTCAGTAATTTCAGACTGAAAGAGACCATAGAAATAGTCAAATTCAACTCTTTTATTTTTCGAACAAAGAACCTGAGATCAAGAAAAATAAGTAGTTCAGTCAGAGATATAGAGCCCAGGGTCTCCTAAAGTTGGAGTAGATAATATGCTACCATAAACAAGATTACCTTAAAATAAGGAGAGTTTAGTTCTAAGCACAGGTTCAGCCTGCTAGTCATAATGCTGTTAGTATTTTAGGGAGTATTAGGGGACTTGGGGGTAAATATACATTCATAAATATATTGCCATATGAGACACAGACCAAAAGTAAAAAAGACAACATTACAGTCCCCCCACTCTGCTCTGCTCCTCCCCCCCACAGAACAATGCAGATAATTTTAATTCTTCATTTCCTAGAATAAATGTAGCAGTGCCTATCACTAAATAAAATTAGAGAGACTAAAAAAAATTCTAAGCAAGTGAAAATTCAGAAAGGTGCAGTGGTGGTTTTTCTCTGATAAATTTATTTCTTATTGCTATTTTTTTGGCTTGTCTGGATTTCTGAGATTAAAAAAGAAATCAAAGATTGAATATTAAATGCTGTTTTATGTTGCAATACTTGTTAACAATAAACTATGAAAAGACTGTAAAAATCTAATTAAACTTTATTAAATATATTGAATTTAAAGGTTGTTTTATGTGATAAATTGTAAGTGTAGCTTTCGGCTCTGGTAAAGGTGGTTTTATTGAACTATATTTAAGAGATTAAATTTTGAAAAAAGATTTTGATTAAACCCACTGATGAATTAAAATGAAATAACAGTATATTACTGTGGGTAAAGAATGCACATGGTTTTTGTATATTACTAGAATCACTAGGTAATATTTTTCAGGTTGTAAGAATGGCTTTTGCAGTATATCAAAGAATACCTATATTCAATATGTTGAATGCAAGTCATAATTTTATATCTATAACAATAGAAATATTTGTTTCTAAGTTAAGATTAATATGACTGTAAATCAATTTATATTTCAGGTCACTTTACTAGATTTTGGCTGGAGGAATGCATTTAAAGAAGTATCTCTACCCATGGCACATTGCATAACAACTGCAGTTGAAAATTTTTCCACAAAAATTCTCCAACAGGAACAGAATGAAAAGTCTTCAGCTGTGAGCTATGCTATGAACCTTGTAAATGTCCAGCAAATTTGGCAAGATAGCCACATGTTTCCTGAGGAGGAACAACCAAAGAAAATTGCAAAGGTAAGTATCAAATGAATTCCTTTCAAACTGCTGACAGGTATAATGGAGTTTCTTGTTTCTTTCTCTTTTAATATAAGGCATTGCAAAAGGAAACTAGATCAAACGGTGGCATCTCTTGGCAATCCTTTGGTGTTTGATCCAATACGAGTTGTCTTCTCTGCTGTTTAGGGGACACTACTACCAAAACCACTTATACCTCTTGATAGCTGTTTGCTCCCTTGATCTGAGGCAACCTAACAGGTCCTCTGTAACACCAGGGGAAACTGGATAACTTCCTGTTTTGGTTAGACCTTTGAAGGACTCCAGGAGAAATTTAGAAATTTAAAGGAGATTTTATCTCTCTGTGCTTGGTTTGGGGCAATTTTAAACTCTTTCTTTGTACCTTACTTAGCATTCTATATCATTGGCATCAGACTTACTTCTTTACAGGTTCTTTGAAAGTCATTGAACTACCTGTGAAAATAGGAAGTAGATAAATACAATTATTCATTATTAGGTCCACAGTGAGTTCAGAAGCCTACGTTGTGATATTTTTAAGAGTCCTTGATTGGGTTTTCATTATGCTACTGTCAACTTGAAGCTCTAGAACATTCCCTAAGGAGTTTTATTGGCTGATTTTATGTGGAGGTAAGCTTTGCCTTCCCTCCCACCATATCTCCCGGTTCCATTAAGTATATACATAATATTAGGTGAAAAGCCAGATATCACTTCTGAAAGTTGCTGACTCTTTAGCTATAAGAAGATGCAACATGGGATAGCTTCTGTTTCTTCTAGATTATTTAAATTAAACTGATAAATATATGTGATTTTTAATAAGATCATCTATAGAAATTTAGTGAGAGAAAATTTGGGTAAGTTAAAAAATAATGTAAACATTAATATTAAGGATACATATTTTCTGACTTCTATTTACTCCAAACAAAGGTATTGTCAAGTAAAGCTGGTTCTTGAGTTTTTCATAATGTCTGTCTGGTAAGCATAATGTTTGAAGGTTATAGATAGAGAGGCATCATTTTGGTATTTCTTTATTTGACATGAAACATTTAACTTTCTACAACTGAGAAATTGATTATTGTAAAGCTGTGTCATTATATTTATGTTTGATGCCAAATTCATTACTTAGGAATTTGGCTCCACTATACATAAATTACATGGTGCTGTCAGAATACAAATAACTCAGCGCCACATTTATTTCTCCCTAGTTTTGTTCTGACATCATGGAAAAACTTGACACCATGCTTCCACTGGCTCTGGCATGCAGAGATGATTCTTTTCAGGAAATTAGAGCAAACTTGGTAGAGGCCTCTTGCAAAGTGGCAACAGCTGTCCTGGCAAGACTACAAGAGAGAGGCAAGGAGGTTCCTTCCAAAGCACCCCTGAAAAACCTGCACATACTCCTCTCCACAGCGGTGTACATCTTCCAGCATTTCACACACTGCAATAATTTGATGAAAGAAACCACTAAGAAGTGAGTGTCAAATTAAGCTAATGGCTACGCTTAAAGAAACGTGTAAACTTTAGATATCACAGGAATGAAATTTTAAGGATGATATTAGAAGAGAAAATAATAATCGACAAGAATTGTTTTCATTTTTCTTGACTAGGAAATGTCAAAAAGGTGAACCATGGGAGGTATTAAACTAAGCACATAGACAGTAAGAAAGTTCGACTCTATTCAGACATACTAAAAAGAGCAACTATTTTCTGAACGTTGTTATGACATGATTAAATGTACCTCTTCCATTTTGTAAGGCACCTTATATGGACCACAGTGAAAATGGAAAACAAGCTTGTTTTTATCCCATGTTTGTATTTATTTGTAAAATATTCACTTATCTTTTTTGTCTTTAAGCCAATAAGCTGTTAGGAGATGGTGTAGAAAACAAATGCTTCTTAATTTATTGTGTGTGTGTGTGTGTGTGTGTGTGTGTGTGTGTGTGTGTGTTGCTAGGGATTGAACCCAGAGCCTTGTGCATGCAAGAAAAGCACTCTACCAACTGAGCTATATCCAGCCCCCAATCTTAATATATTCTAGTGACCAATGCAAACATATTGCAGGACATCTATTTAGTAATAAACTACCCATAGTATTTGAAGATGAAACAACTACCAATGTTGATTCTCATGTATTAGTAGTCTAATATATGATGTTTTCCATATAGAGATAAAAATGATCACAGGTATTATCACATAGTCTTTCTGGTTACATTTGTATCATACAGAACTTAACCTGGTGCCTTGTAAAGGGAATATATGAACTCACCAGTCCAGTGTCACCCCAAGAATCTATTTGGCATTTTTTATTTAGCCTTCACAGTCTTACAGTTATGAAAGAAAGCAGTGTACTCTTAATAGCTGAAGATAAAAGATATTTCTTTAATTCTCATAAGTAGTCAGATGTTGCAATTCATACTTGAAATTATAAACAAAATGTGCCAGAAACACTTCATTTCTGTGGGATATTTTTAAACAGTTTATGAGATAATTGATGTCTACAAAATTGCAATTTTTTAAAAATAAAAAGAGTGTTTTTGTGGAATATGTGATAGCTTTATAAAAGTTGGTTCTGACAAGTGTACGTTGTTCTCTAGTAGTAACGATAACCTAATGCCTAAATAATACACTGATCTCTAATAATAGGCTTACAAAGAATATTTTTAGTTTTGAATGATGTATTGACAGTGCAGTTTATCTCAAGTTGAAGTGCATATTTGCAGAACAACAGATGTACGTTTTCAAAGGACTTGCAAAACAAAGACAAGCTTTTTTTTTTCCTTTTCTTTTCTTTTTGGAAAGTGAATGTGGATACAGACTTACTTCAGCATTAGGAGGAAATGAATGATTGATATCTAATAATCAAAACCACTTGTAGTACTGGAGATTGTTGCCTCCTACTGCACAGGCCTTAAATCTCTGCCTCTTTGATCATTCCCTCTGAACAGACCCATATTCCTGGTGCCTGTCCAACGATATCAGGAATTCATCAACACTCTACAGTTTCAGGTTACGGACTACTGCGTCAGAGTTTGTGCTACAAGCATTTTACAGGATGCTGAGAGCCACCACTGGGATGACTACAAAGCTTTTTATGAGGTGTGAAGTTAAGTTTACTATCCCTTCCTTTTTACACAAATATGTTTTACTGCCTACCTGCTTTCTGGCTAATTAGAAACATGAGCTTGGCATTACTAACACATGAAGGCTGTTAGGATAATATTTTTTAAATATTGAATTTGTATTTAGGAAAAACACTGTTTTTAAAAACCTGAAATAAATTAGACATCAGAACTCTCCTTCTGCTGAAAAGTAAAAATAACTTAATTTGAGCTGCAATGTTGCAGTGCTATATAAGGTGTAATATAATGAGATACAATGAAAACTCAAAAAGATAACACACAGCAAAAAGCTATAACATATTTTCTCCAAAGGAACCAGTTATGGGTATCCTTGCATTTTTTCTTGTTATATTTCCATCTGTGTTTGATAAATATTTTTTATTAAGGAGATTTATTTTTATACTTATTTTTCCCTTCTCATTGTTCTTATGAGTGCACTTTAAGACCCATTTGATCATTTATAACTTACCTATTTTTATTTAGCCATGTTTTGAAATCTTAACTTTCTACCAAATTAAAGCCTAATGATTCCCAGTGCAACCAAACCGAGGATCAATTAAAATTATTCATCTTCAAGCCTTATTAGTTTATCATCCCCTAGACCCCACGTATTATACACAGATCACAATATTTGAAATTCCTTGAAATGGATTTTAGGGAAGGGTAAAACACTTATACTACCTTAATAAAAGATCATTGTGATTTTTAAAAATTTTCAATAGCCAAGTTCAACTTCATGAGATTTTCCATTTCAACTTTTTGTCAATTTTTCAATCAAAGTTTATGGTTTTTGTTTTTCCTAATTGTTCTAGCCACTATAGGGTATTAGAAAAACAGAGTGGAGTTTTGTTCAACTGTCACTCTTGTCACCTCCCTGGCAATGCAGGTTCCTGTGGTTCCATTTATTCCTGACTTATCATCATAAATGTTGCTACAATTCAGAGGAACAGCTAATAAGAAGCTCTATTAAAGGACTTTCCATGTTTTCTAAGGCCATTTTATCTCTTCTTTAGAGGCCCTTCCCAGATAGTTTTTCTCTTTGCAAGAGCATCCATATAGGGTTTTCCAAGCCTGACATACATACTTCAAACAGTAGTGGTAACAGTGAGCAGAATGAGGGAAAAAAGTGGTATGGTACAGCTGGTAGCCTGAGATAAGAATGAATGTATTGGTCTTCCCCTCTCCTGGCAGCTCACAACCTCCTTATTTGCCTTGAGGTAAACAGAGAGGTTGAAAATGAATCCATCTCATGTTTCAAACTATTTCAACATTTCAGGGTATTAATGACAATTTTATATGATATTTGTAGAAGGACAGTTATCATCTCAGTATATGTTCAATACAGGGGTATTTTGTTTTCTCTTATACAAATTGGAACTAGAATAGTCGTACAGTGTAAATAATAAGTGGATGCATTGACAAGCTGTTATTGAAGTTACCAAGTATTTAAAAAAAAAAAAAAGAAACAACCAAATTACCATGTAAAACACTGCTCTTAGGTCTTATGACAAGGCGTTAGCCTCAAAGACAGAAATAATGAGATAGTTACCCTGTGATTACATGGTACTATAGCTTCCATATACTTACATGGTCAGTAGTTACAATTTAATTGCAGAGTTAGTGGTTGTTATTTTTTTCTCAGAAAAATAAAGTGATACCACTTTTCTATTTACCAAAACTAAGATCCTTCTAAAAATAGCACAAATTTAAACTGTTTTGACAAGTGGTGTACCTGACATGGTTTTATCTCGCTGGCTGCACCCCTTTCTCCTCCTCTCCCTGTTACTCCAGCTGATTTGTGAAAAAGAACTAGCATGTTTTGGGCAGGCCTGTGTTGAGAGGAAAGGAGATGGTGCTGCCTGGCTGGAGGATAGAGATCTTGGAGGAACTTATCACCATGTGCAGAAACGTAGTAGAGAAAGAGTAAAAGATATGGAGCAATATTCACTCATGTTTTGTGATAACAAGTGAGCCCTAGATATGTTATTTGCATTTTCTAAACTGTCAGGTTGTGAAATTCAAAGAGTTAGATATCTCTCTGATGAGGTACTGGTCAGATGGCACAGTGGGTGTTCAGATTACATGTTCAAAATTAAGCTTTTAGTAGAGTTGACGTCTGCTCAATTTCAGAAACTTGTGTTTTCCAATAGTCAAAGAATAATGAATTGTCTGCTCAAACATAATATTGAGTGGCTTCTATAATAAAGCCCAGCTGCTTGTTTCCTGATATATAATCTAAATAAAAGCCCACATCTGTTTACATTATAGTGGGTCTACAAAAATAACAGATGTTTACTAGCAGAATACTTTTGAAATGACAACAAATGGGGAAACAGGTCAGAAAAAATAAATGAATCACATTTAGTTTAATTGAAGTTGTATGCATTTTAAAAAGAATTGTTGAAACAAAGACCAGTTTGAATATTTTTAAGTAAACATTAAATTTTGAAAAGTATTAAAAATGAGCAAGTACTTCTTCACTTTACAAGAAGATATCTGTGTGCCCAAGTTATCTTTATTTTCCCATTTATTGCTAAAAGGAAGGCATTAAGGAAATTGGTTTTTCATATTCTGAAAATTATGAAAAATACTGTTGATCACATTTTAATCAGTCATTCATTGCCAAAGGGAAAGTTAGTATAATTGTTCATGCTAGTCACTACATCAGCTGGGCTTAGTTTTGTTTTCATTTATGTGCAACCCAAAAAAGTTTGAAGGAATCAAGCTTTAACTCCTTATTTTAAAAAGAATTCTTTATCACAGGACATATCACAAATAAAGCATATGAAACTGTTAATTTTGCTGCCTCATTATTAATTATATACATATGTTTTTTTTTTCTTAAGCAGTTTAGATGTATGTCTCATTAGGAAGTCAGAACCAGTAGTCCAAATCCCCTTTGGTTTGAACTTGACTCTGACAGTTTGATGCCCAAGTTACCTTCCTAAGGAAAAACAATTCTATTTATTTATAAAAGCCATTTAAAAGTCAATATATAATAACTATAAATTATTATTCACAATGACTGCAGAAGATTTTAATAACCAAAGAGACTATCAGAAGAAGAGTCTAATAAGAAAATACTTAAAGAAGTATCTGCTTAGGAAGCCATCAATTTTTGGTATGAGAGAACAACAGCTATTTTTAGATGACTTTTTTGTTGTTGTTTTTAAATATAGTGGGCAAAGCACAAATTTTATGGCAAAGAAAATTACTTAAAGCTAAAATAGGAAATTTTACCAGTTTTAAGTTTCGATATATTAACATAATAAGGATAATGTTTGAAGAATGCTTTCTACTCATTCTTATTTCAAATCATCTTTTGATCTGATTTGAAGAAAATGAGGTCAACAACTAGCAAACCTCCCCCAGAGCATGATACCTAATTAATACATGCAAATCACTTGAGGCTACCTTCTCCTTTCTGCTGGTTCCTTTTGGCCTAGGCCACTGTTGGATCTCCCTCAGCACTCAGGGAAAAGTAAGTGCACAAAGGAAATCTGTAGATGGATAGAAAAGAATGAGAATCTGGTCCCTTGGAAGTATAAAATGACATAAAAATGCTAAGAAATGATGAAACTATGTATCTAGGATTTTCAAAATCTTATAAAATTAGACCTCTGTGGTATCTGTTGCTAGTATAGTACTATTATTAAAATGCCATAGGTGAAATAGCCCAATGTAATAATCTTTAATAGTTATACATCCCACTTTGTTTCATGAATATTGATAAGATTATAGTGTGCACATTTATTTTATTCCTGTCATTTCTTACAATATGAAATCTGATTTATAAAATTAACTCAATGATGCCAATAGTTTCAGAAAAAATACCTTCATTAACAATTTAAATAGATTTTAATTTTAGAAGAATCAGTCTGTTATCTTAAACTACCTAGCATAACTTGTTTAGCAACTACAAAAACTGTTTCAAAGTAAATTTGAAACTCTAGGCCAGGAGTAAGTAAATCAAGGATATGCTAGGTTAAATGCTTATGGTCTGGATTTGCACTGGAATATCTGGTCTTGTAATTGAAATAAAACATATGTTCCTTTGTCAATAAGGATGTTTAACATCTAGTCAAAAATCTTTCCTGGTCATCTAGTGTGTCAGTCTCTCCAGCTATTTCCTTTCAGCCTGAACTAATTAGGTTCATAGGAAGCAAACTGACATTTTGGAAGATGTAATTCTATTGTTTAATGTGTGCTGATTTTGCCAGGGGGAAAGATGCTCCTTCTCACTCCAGATGTGGCATTATTTCTGCTGGGCTCTTCATCATGATCTCTGGACCATTCTGCCCCCTAAGATAGCCCAGGAGATTCTGGCAGAAGTGCTAGAGAAATCGTTGAGTCTGCTGGCCTCCAGATATGCTCGGGCCCATCCCAGTTATAAGAGAACTCCACAGATTAGGTAATTGAAGTTCTGAAAACTACTGCTTTCCAAGAAAACTTTTGAGTCAATGTAATGCAGAATATATTTCTGAATCTCATGACACACACAACTCCTTGTATATTTAACATGTTCCTAACATCTGAAAGGAAATTGTTTTCAGTTCTGGGGGATTTAAGTGGAAATGTGGAACTCAAATAGAAATAACTTTGCTCTTATTTCCTCTTAAACTTGCCTATAAAACCCATTTGTTTCTAAGAAATGATTCAAGATGTCTTATAATCTAGGACATATATAGGTATGTATATGTATACATACATATATTTATGTATACACACACACACAAAAGTTAATAAGGTAAAGAGAAAAGGTTCTGAAATAGATAAAAAAGCAGCCAAGCTGTGATGGAGCAGTTAATTTGACTTTGAGCTTCTAGGCAACCAAGAGATTTTAGTGGTGGTCTTTTTTAAACCTTTAAATATAGAAGTTTGTCTTCATTATCTACATTGTCTAGTAATTTTTCTTCTTAATATATTTCAATTCCCTCATTACTCTTTTCCTTTATTTTTTCTTTTCTCTTCACTATGTATTATTAAAAGCCAGTTCAAAAAAATATAGAATCCCAGAAAATGAGGAGCACCAGTCACCAGGCTTTAAATTGAAGACTGAAATACAGCACAATTCTTTGAGTTATCTAGGCAATGAATATTCTACTATACAAATGGCCTTATGTAACAACAATGATTTACATGAACAGAGACTTTTGTTTTATAAATACTTTGTCTAAGACCTGTTGTTTACATAGAATTTTTTTCCAGGTGTATTTTAGAAGAAACCTATATACATCAGAAGCTTTTATTTATTTATTTATTTATTTATTTTGGCAGGAGAATTATTTCTGATCATGTTATTATAAAGTATATGGCAATCTTAAGGGCATTTAGGTCCTGCTACAGTGTTTCATAAACACGGTATTTTGCACAGGCTGTTTTGAATTATACGCCAAGTGTTTTAAAAAATTGAACTCTGAATAGTTGGTAAATTCCTTTGGAGAGCAAAGTATTCCTTCATTCTTTTTCTTTTTTAGTATGAAGCACATTTGACTATGAGGTGGCAAGTCATTATGAGATATTTGTAAAATGAGATTTACTGTTAGCTCATCAACAGGTAGTATATTTAATTAATTAACTGTACTGTAGAGAATTTGGTTTTTATTTTCTGGATGGTTGAATAAAAATGCTATGCAAAGCTAGATTTATTGTTTCTAGTTTTGATAAGTAAAAAACTTATTTTTATTTGAATGGTTAATCCTAAACCATCATTATTATGGAAATCAGATTATGTGTATGTATATGTGTATCTTGTATTAGTGACTTAATTTAGCATTTAGGGAAAGTTAATATCAACTATAATTACACCTTCTTAAAACTTATTATTGATGTGTTTAGTATTCCAATAGTGTACATATGTCGTATAACCAAAATCATGTGTATTAACATAGAAGATTGATTATATATAATACATTTTGGCCTAAGTATAATTTTTAAAAATCTGTAAACATATTTTTGTTATCCTTTAAAAAATTTCCATTTTGTATTGCTTCAACTCTTAATTTAAAAGCAAAAGAAGTATATTAGCTGAGGTCTGTTCAACTTAGTCATATACTTTAAAAATAAATGCCTTTAAATGTTTGTCTGAATTTCTACTAAAACACCAGAAAGGGGAGGAAGGGATGGTAAGAGGACAATTTATAGACATGGGGTGTAATAGGATAGGAGGAATAACTTCTAAAGGTCTCTGGCACATTGTGATAACCATGGTTGACTACTATAACAATTAATCGACTATTTCAAAATAGCTAGGAAGATTTTGAATGCTTCTGAAAACAAAGAAATGATATATGTCTTAAGGTGATAGATATGCCAGTTACCCTGATCTGATTATTGCACATTGTATTCATGTGTTGAAATGTCACACTATACACCATAAATATGTATAATTATTCTGTCAATTAAAATAAATACATTAAACATTTTTAAATTTAAAAACTTTGGGAATATGGAAACAAAAAAATAGTTTTATAAATAAAATAAATGATAGAGCACATTTTCCACAAATTTATTAACACTAGAAATTTCTGAAAGGATGAGCATCTTCATTTGTGTTTCTGTTGTTATTTCTTCTTATCTCGAACTTGCTGGGAGTAGATGTTACTCCACATATTATAGCCTTTTGACAGCTTAGACATGGATGGAGAGAATTGTTCTGCTATCAAATTTTTACCTACTATGTATGTATGGATAATAGCAAGTTTTTCTTTTCAGCTAGCTTCTCTTTTGCTCAGTGTAATTTAAAGGACAGTCTCTTGAGCTTCTGGAATAAAATCTTGGAAATTCAAAGCAAATGTTTTATGAAAAGCATTCCTAGAATACTATTATAGACCTTAACTATCCCTAACATGATGGTATTATGGGACGTATAACACCAGAAACTCAAAAAAAGTATCTTTGATGCTTTTTGTTTTTGATCTGAAGCTCTGACATCTAACCAAAACTTTTTATTCTTACATATGCTTAGTACTAGAGATATGAAGGAAAGTATATATACCAAGCCAAAAGTTTATTTTAGTATGATTTTCCTCTTTTTCTTTCTAATAGACTTGATGTGACAACAATTTTAATCTGCACTGAGAACATGTTATGGTCGATTTGTACATCTGTACAAAACCTTGTGAATCCTCATGAGTCTAAAGATGATAAAATTTTTAAAATTCATACCCATTGTAATAATCTGTTTACAACATTAGCCATTTTGACTTCACCATTAACAGAGTTATATAGGTAAGTATCAAATATATTTTATTTTTTAATTATGATTATATATAAAATAATGTATTTAACAAAGCTATTTTCATAGCACTTATTGAATTATGTTAAGTAGCAAGTAGAAATTTTCTGAAGTACATTTTGATATTGTGAATTGGGCCATTCTATAAAATTAATACCAACCAACAGGGGTTTCTTGATTCTCAAACTAATTTAATCTCCCAATATGTATTATGTCTGTCTCCATTTATTGGTCAATCCCATTCAGTTGATAAGTTTCCAATGTAGTTGGAGCATTTTAAGCTTTACTTTTTGACTTATTTTAATGGGTCGATTATTTAGTCACTGCTTGATATGCTGTGAAAAACAAAATCATATCTAGTTGCTTTTGGCTCACCTTAACAATATGTTATAGTTTGGAGCTGAGGCTCAGCTGTAGCATACTTGCCTTACATGTGTGAGGCACTGAGTTTGATTCTCAGTACTACATATAAGTAAATAAAAAATAAAGGTCTATCAACATATAAAAATGTTTTAATTTTACATAATTTGCTCTAATAAAAAATAAATTTTAGAAAATTGTTCTAAAATATGCCCAATTCTGAAAGAGACCTAATGGTTGCATACTTTCAATAAATCTACTATAGAAGTGCTTTTTTCTTCCCTCTAGTACTGGGGATTGAACTCTACCACTGAGCCACATCCCCAGCCACATTTTTGCTTTATTATAAGATAGGGTCTCATTAAGTTACCCAAGCTGGACTCAAGCCTCAGCCTCCTATCTCAGCCACCCATGTAGTTCGGTAACAGATGTGCACTTCTATATCTGGCTAGATTTGTACTTTTAATATTAGGCTTTAGTGTCTTAAGTGATAATGGCAAGTCGAAATAGAAATGAGTAATTAAATGGAAAAAACATTTAAATATTTTACTTAGCTAAACAAGATTTAGAGAAAACTTTCGAACTACTTTTAACTTCTAGTTAATTTGATTCAAGTTTGTAATATTATAGAAGAGGTTTGAGTAGATTTTACAATTAAAACATTAATATTTTATTTAATTCCTCTTGACAATTCCAAATTGTCACTTTTATAATAAAAGACTAAATAATTTTACATTACTAGTTAGATAGTAAAAATTTTATATAATATTTCTATTTCTTAGGCTAAACTAGGTAAAGTTTTCCTTCCTGTAACATTCTGGCAAGAGTGACATACAAATCTTTATTTTCAATAAATTTTAGACTTTAGTGTCAGATATTCTAAGAGTACTTAACAACTTTAATTGCAATTTTCCTATAATTTTCACTTACTCTTTCACTGTTGACAAAGCCATTATGTACAGGTTGTTTCTTCTAGGCAATCCAGGTGGAGAACTAACTTTAGAAATGGATAATTCTTTCAGAAACGGAAAGAAAGAGTGAGATAAATCTCCATAAGGTTGAGATTATATACATAATGCTTCATAATCATAAAAAGCTTAAGTCTGAGGCCCATAGTAAATCCTCGCAAACTAAAATGATTTACCATAGATGAAAAAATTGCTATGCTCTCGGTTCAATGGGTCATTTCATCTAAGAGGAAGGCCCTGTGAAAATCAGGAACAAAGTTGACAAATTTCATGGATTTGTCATGGTGAGCAATATTGAATTTCATGCTTTGTCACAGATGAATTGAAAAATTTTAACCCCCAATGCATTTGTAAAACAAATAAATTATTATCAAAGATTGCATACTTTAATAATAATAATAATAATATAATATGTACACTCATTACTGTTAACCTAAGACCTTTTGATACATTTTCTAACAACTACGCAAGTACTCAAATCTCTGATTTGTGCATTAGATACTACACTGTAATCTCATTCAGCAAATTTAAATTGCTAATTTCAATCAGGATTACATTTATAACATTTTATATCAACCATTGCCTCTGGATTTTTCTAATGTGAAACATAGAAAGCTATATTGCTTTCAAAAATCTAGATACACTTTAATTCCTTTTAAAGATTCGTTTATTCCAAAAAAAAATACTTTCACATGAATTTACATTGTTTTTCTAGAATATTCTAATCTTTGAGATATATTTTGCTTTTTATTGACAGAGGAAATCTGTCAACAAACTGTATTCAGAAGCCTCCTCCCATGCATATCCACATAGCCAGTTAGTGGTTTCCTTGCTGCACTTGCTTGCATAGACTGTTAGTTTTAGCTTGTATATAGCAAGTTAAATATTAATTCCTAGAGGGATTTGAGGGTGTGACTCAGTGGTATATCCAAGGTCATGAGTTCAATTTCCAGTACTCACACCCCAAATTAATTCCTAAAGTTCTAGGTAAATGCAATTTTATTTCAATTCAATCGTGTTGCCTCTATGATTAAGCACAAGGGATATAAGAGTAAGAAAGATGTAATATCTCTCCTTAGTAATTTAGCAAAGTCTGATAAAATTTTTAATGTTAAAATTAAATAAATTTTTATATTTCTGAAATATTTTGATGTGTCATATCAGAAATCCTGAAAGTTGTTTATTCCAACATAAATAACACAGAAGAGTAAGATTCCAGTAAAAGTCCCAACCTACCAGTCAAAGGCTCAACTCATCAGAAGTAGGTTAGGATATTGCTCAATTAGCCAAGAAATAGTAGACTCATCTTGTCTTACCCATGGAAGCACTTATAAGATTTTTGATCAATGAATTCCAAGGTATTTCAATACCATGTCCATAACTCAATTTCAAATTAATATTAGGTCTTTTGAGATTATGGTCTTAGACTTTGTCTTGTTACATTTTGCTTTGCAACTAATTCACTGTCCCTCAAAAACCAAAATATTTTAGGCTAAAACTTTGTTTTTCATATCTCAAGAATGACCGATATCATTTGGAAAACAGGAAGGTCCTCAACTGTGAAGCATGAAGTATGATTTTGTAAAATGTTGAGCATATAATCTTATGACCCAGCAATGGAAATATGTGTCTTCACAAAGATTCATAGAAGCATTTTGCATGATAGCACAAAGTAGAAGCAAACCAAATACCCATGAACTGGTAAATGGATAAAGAAAATGTGACATATGCATTCAGTGCAATATTATTCAGCAATAAAAAACCAGGATTATTAATATGTGCTTTACTAGGAATGAACCTTAAAAACATTACGCTACATGAAAAAAGCCCGACACAAGAGAACTCTTACTGTTTGGGTACGTTTATTAGAAAAATTCAGAAGAGGCAGATCCATAGAGAAAGAAAACAGATCACTGGTTGCCAGGAACTGAGGGAAAAGGAAAATGGAAAGTGACTGCTAATGGGCACAAAGCTTCTTTTAGAGATAAGGAAAAAAATTAAAATTAGATAGTGATGAAGTTATGCAGCTGTGATTACAGTAGGGACCGTTTAATTGTATACTTTAAATGTGTTAATTTTGAGGCATGTGAATTATATGTCTTAATAAAGCAGTTAAAATTTATATAGATTTAATGGAAATAAAATTTTTAAAATATTAAAAATAGTCTGTCAGAAAGTAAAATAATCCATTAAATGATATTTCTTTCCATTTCTGTTTAGAAGGAGGTAAGTCCTTGTATTTTTCTTTCTTTAAATATTATTTTTAAGTGAAAATAACTTTTTAAAAAAACGCATAAAATCAAAAAGCTTTATATGTGGTCCTAATATGTAACACACTGAGAAAGGACCAGTCATTAATTTTGGAGTTGATCTGCACCTCAGCCTTTTACTGGTAGGTTCTTGCTGTACCCTAAGGTCCAGTCTTATTTTCTCTCCACCATTGTCCTGTTCTCTTCCTTCCCTGATGGCTGTGTGCTCTTCATAGATGGCCCCTCAGATTCATCTTCCTTTCCACCAAGCATGTTCTGGCAATACCTTCCATTTATTCTTTCTTTTTTCTTCCCTACCACATATTTACTGTGGCTCAACTATAGACCAAGCAGCACTGTGCCATTGTCTAATTTAAAAATCATCATTTTCTAACCTCAGAGAGTGATTTTTGTTATGAAAAATTCAAGCCAGGGGTCATGAGAAATGTAGGGAACCATAATTTACTCCAATCTTACGAGACATCTCTCAGTGACATTTAAGCAACAAATTTATGGCCCCAGAGGTAGCACTTTTTGTTTGTTTGTTTGTTGTTTTTAAAGCAAAGAAGTGACTTAGGATTCTGTTTAAATCTTAAAGTAGATTGAATTTGATTATTTCTACATATTCATAATGGCTTTTTATTTTAGGGCTAGCAAAAAGGCTTACATATCCTCAATTTTGGGTGCTTTCTCCTACCAATTCTCCTTGTAAGGTTGTAGTCTTCTCTTGGTATTTTTTCTTATCACCCAGTAATTCTGATATGCACAGATGAAACAAGAAACCCACCCCTCACACCTCTACCCCACTAGAGCTTACATCCTTGGGCTACTTAATTTCTTCATGGGGGCTTATTCCATTAACCTCATAGGAGAACCAATTCTCTTGGGAGGGCAGCCAAGAGTGGCACAAGAAAGGCATAAAACCCAGCTAACTCTTTTTAGCTTTTAGTTGTTCTCACTTTTGATATGCCTTGGATTTATTTCATCCCAGCAGCTGGCTACATAAGCTCAAGAAGCCAATCAGTTTTGTTAAGGGAAAAGTAGCATACATCAGAAACAACAACAACAACAAAAAAAGGAATCTAAAATAGAGAGTGAGGCAGCACTATGGTATGGTCAGCCAGAGGCAGGTAGTGTTAATGAGAGGGAAAGTGTATGGCTCACTGATGTTGGAGAAAGGACAAAGGCAAGAAATTTCCAAAATTCACTTGTATTCCCCCTAAGCAAAACTTATTATACAGTCTGATTTAGGAATGAGAAGAAATGTATTTTGCTTCAACCTATAGACAATTACTTATTTTTAAAGTATTTAAATTTGCTATATCAAAATTCCTTTATGTGCTTGTGGAAAATATAATGCTATGGCTCATACAATTGTTATTTTTTGCTATGAATTATTCAGAGCATCCTCTCTTTTAACTGTATACCAAAACATCATTAGAGGTTATCTAATAGCTAGCTCATAATTTCATTCCCCCATTGAGGCTTCTGGGCCAATTTTCACCCTGTTATACTCTCCAGAATAATGAAACTAATTTGGGATCTTGCTGTGGAATTAAATGCTCATACAGATCCCTCCCCCTCTGAGACCATAAACATCTGCCATAACATCTCTTATAGCCAAATAACCTTACTATTACCAGTATGACTGAGCAACTGTCAGTGGAGTAAAGAGTTTAGGTTCTGGTTCTGGCAGAAATGTCCTTGTAAAAATCTTAGAAATTTTGGCACCAATTAACTATTCTATTATTATTAGATTCTACATTATTTTCTCTAGTCTTCAGTATAAAACTGTAACTAGGCAACCATTTAGTCAATTAGAAATTCCATGTCAGTTTTCAGATAGTCATAAAACCTTCTTAAGAACTTAAGAAAAACTGAAACTAAATAAATTGCTGAACACCGTATCTCCAATAAAAAGCATACCCAAGATGCAAACTGAGGCTGTCTGGCTCCATTGCTCCTATATGTACCCATACACTATCTACAAATAACCTTCAGTGTCCCTATCCTTGGGATATGGAGCATATGAAAATAATAACAACAAAACAATAATAATGATAAATGTTAAAGGATTAGAAGTACAGTCCGAGGGAGAAACAAAGCACAGGAGGTGAAGAGAAGGGATATGTTTTAGACACAGTGGTCAGAGGAGACTTAAGAGAAGGTTCTGAGGTGGAGCAATCTGTGGAGCTAGCTGACTACGACACAGAGAGCATTTTAGATAAGGTATTCTGGGAGAAATGTCCAGATAATCGGACAAATAGGTATTTATGCAAAGGGCTCAAAGAAGTAGGCATAGGCTGTGATACTAAGTGTCTTTGTTCATCTCTTTCTGTCCTTTCGGCTCTGCTCATTCATCATTCGTCTCTTGACCCATCTGTTACCCTCAGTCTTTCACATCTTTTGAGACTGCATTTCTCTCCAGACCCTTTCAGCATCTCTTCTGCTTCCTCCTAACAGCATTCTCCTCTTCCTAGTGTGCCAGCTGTTGCACATCCCTTCCCTGCACCCACTCTTAGTGGCCTATCTGGACTCTGATACACTGCTGGAGAATGTCACTCAGCAATCTTTTTGTGCCTATTTACAACCCAACTCCACCCTTTGTTCACTCTCTGGGCAACTCCTTCTTCCATCCTTCTCTCCTTTGACCAACCCCTGAACTTGCACCATCTTACTGTTTGTTAGCAGATGGCTTCGCCCCTGTACTTCTCTCAGAGAATTCAGACCATCATGAATACAGTTTAGCTCCTCACATCCATTTTTTTTTTAAATAATTGTGATAGTGGATATTGAACCTGGGGCATCATACATCCTAGGCAAGAGTTGTGCCACAGAGCTACATCTCCATCTCACATTCATTCTTTTTTTAATTTTAAGATTGCTCACTCCATTCTTTTATCCTTATTCTCCTCCCAACCCCTTGACTGCTTTCTGATCAATGTTGTCTATTTTCCCAACTATAGCAAATCTTTTCATCTGAGCTTTTGATAACATTTACCTTGCATTCCATGTCCTTAGTCTTTAAAAAATTTTTTTCCTTGCTTTATCATTATGTTTTGTTCCTAAAACAGTTCACATTGTCTCCGCTTTTGTACCTACCATTCACTCAACACACTCAATTGGACTTCCGGCTGTCATCATGCTAAACAAACAGAGGCAAGATCATCTACATGTACCCAATTGCTAAACTGCAGTAGGTTCTTTCTTTGTTTTATGCTCTCTGAAGTTTTAGGCACTAGTATCCTTTTCTCTTTTCTTGCTTTTCCTAGCATAATTTTTTCCTGGCTCTTTGCTTACTTCTCTGATTGTTCCTTCTTGGTTTCATTTGAGATGTTCTTTTTCTCATCTCACCTTTTAAATGTTGATGTGTTCCAGATATCTGTCTTTGAAAATCTTTTCATATTACATTCTTTCTTTGGTTGAATTCATTCATTTACATGACTTCACTATTATGTGATGATTTCTACATCAAGATATTCAAACTGGATAGCTCTTGGATATGCTAGACCAGTAAATCCAAGTTACTATTGGAAGGCTATCTTTGGGTATATTTCCAGTATATGCAGCCCCCTCAACATATCTCAAATTAGGTAAACTGCCTATGAGATAATCTAGGCTACTCCCTTTCCCTTAACTTTTACTTTCTATCTCCACTTTCCTGCTATTCCCACCCTATGGTCATTAGAAGATGGATATTGTTCATTCTATTAAGTTAGCTTTATATATATATATATATTACTTACTATGCTCTCTGTCTCTTACTTGATCTAGGCTGTTTTTCTCTTCTGATTAGTTTAGTGCAATATTATTTTGATCCCCTCCAATCTGCTGTCCTCACTACTATGGAAGTGATTTTTTTAAGAAGTGAAACTGCTGGCATCACTCCCCCACTATAAACTCTTCAATGATTCCTCCATGCTGGTATAATGTCCAGACTCTTGGAAAACCATATCCTGGCATCTGACCTAGCTTCTGATTACCTCTCCAACTCACACAGTGGATTGCCTGGAATATAAACATCACAGCCTGACTTTGAAGCCTATTAAAATTTTTTTCCTTATCTGAAATTTATTTGGGGGAAAATGGCTTTGAAGGAGGAGATGATATATTACATTTCTAAAAAAACTTCCAAGACCACAAGGTGAGAGAGGATCAAATTGGGAAGATATGAGCATATAAGAAACAAACTTTGTAAGATGTGGAGTGAAAAGATGTGGATTGGTTTTCAAAATAGAATTCTATTCTGTACTATATAGGTAGATGTTACCACTTCACAAAATTCCATTTCTAAAATTTTTCCACTCACTACTCCTAACTCTATGGGCAAATATAGTCTATTACTATAAAAATTTTATTAGCCCAGGTTATGTACTAAGGATGTTATGTAACAAATTATTTCTTATTATGTCAAGATTTGTACTTGAATTTGAGCTAACCTAGAAAAATGTTGTAGTCACTTCCAAAAAGTGGTTATAGATCAGTTATTGTGGCCAAACTATTCCAATTTTTATATCATAGTAATGTAAAATAAGTTATTTTACAGTCTCTTTCTAGATCCTTAGGAATGTGCAAAATTAATTGAAAGTTTCAAATATTGTTTAGTACTTATAAAGATTAAAAAGAGGTACCTACTGTTAAGCAGTTTTATATTAATGAAGCAAATATGATTAAATATTAGAATTTATTAAAAACAAATTGAAAAGACCCAATGGGATATAAGACTACAACTCAAGAAAGACATAGGTAGTGTTTGTGTACCTTCATTGCACACTTAATTTAACAAATTTTATAGTGTGTTTTTAAAAAATCTTAAATGATAATTGTTATACCTTTCCCAACTGTAAAAACTGTTAAATTGAGGTTCATAAAGATCCAAATCTCAATTCATACTGTTCCTGGCTCTCCTGACTACCTGATGATCCCTGAATCACCTATTGACAAAATCCCAAGAGAATGAAGTGGGTGCCTTGTTCATTCTATTGCAATGCTATTTTGTATAAAAATCATTTAGTATGGGCTGGGGTTGTAGTTCAGTGGTAGAGTACTTGCCTTGCATGCATGAGGCACTGTGTTCAATCCTCAGTGCCACATAAAAATAAATAAAATATATTGTGTCCATCTACAACTAAAATTTTTAAAAATCATTTAGTGAATATTAAGGAAAATAAAAAGTTACTTCATTTATCTTCATAGTTAATGTTTTCTGAATATTCTAAAATAACTGCTTGTGTTTCCCTAGAACGTTTCAGCATGGCATGGATGAGTCTGCTTCAGATTCCTTAAAATCACTTTTAAACCAACCATTGCATTGGGTTTCTTGCATATCACATTTCTACCCTTCTTTACTCAGGTAAGAAACTGTAAATGACATACTATCTATAATTCTATGATTCCCTTTAAAATTTAGTAGAAACTTGGATTCACAGCTATACATATATCTTATAAAACAAATTTATAATTTTTCACAATAGACAAGTATGTAAAGAGTATGGTTTTTTAGCTCAAGAATTTAAGGCAAATAATAATTCCACTTACTGCTTTAGTGATAAAATGGAAAACAGTGAATTTTTGAAATTTAGTTCTATTTTAGCTAATTGCCTAGCCATTTAAAAATTCATCCTTCTTGATCTATGATGAGGGATTTGACAGTTCTTCAGCTAATTATCAGATATAGACAGGAAAAGTGGATAATCCATGTAACTTAACTCAGAGCCTTAGAAGAGGAGAGAGGAGTAACTTTTATAGTTATGAATAGGGTCTTTCACTATTATTATTTAATTAACAGCATTTAAAAAACAAGAAAAATCGTTTAAAGTTTGAAATGTTCTTCCAGAGTAATCTGATGACATTTTGTGGCATTATAGAGAATGGCAGTTTGATTCTTTGTGGAATATGTCATTGGAAAATGCCTTTGCTTGGTATCTGAGAATAAAAATATCATGCATAGCTGAAGGAGATGTTGTTAATTTCCATGCATTCTTCATTCATCTTGGAAATACATTATCGATGATTTTACTATCTAAGTTGACTGGCTGTATCTCTGTCTTTTAGGAAATGAGAGTCTTTCCCCCATAAATAGAAAGTATGGAAAGTTCATTCACAAAGGCCTCCATAGACACCACAAGAATACACTGCTTGCTTGTATGTGCCTGTCTTCATATAGCCAATGGAGGATCCAGGATTAGTGAGACATAGACCCTAGTTTCAAGGACCTCAGTGTATTGCTTATACATAAAACTTTGTCAGCATGTTGATTTATTCCTTGTGATTGATTTCTGGAAATGGAATGCCCTCAATACACTACCAACTCAATACCTTGTCTTCTTGCATGTAAACATACTTTTGTGTCCTTAGGAATTAAATAGCTAACTCCATAGTACTCATTACTGCAAAAATAACAAATTAAAAAACTGAGTATTTTATAGTATAAATTAAGCAAACAATCTGCATCCTTTTGATGAGTTCCTAAACTTCTAAAACATATTTGTTCTCCACATTACCATCACATTTTATCTTTTTTTATTGCCTGCTTTTGTCTTATATCTGGAACCAGGGGTATTCTCCCTCTTTGGGAATAGCTCTCTCTGATTTCCACCTCCAAACCTTATCAGTTCAGCCAGCTAGAGGCCTGGGAAGGCAGCAGGAAATTAGTTTATTTTTCAAATAGTTGGTTATTATATTTAACTTCTTTCTCTTTTTCATAGATAAAGCCAAGTATAAATGAAACAAGATGTTTCTTTCTGCTTTTACTTAGCAAACAATCTCCACTATTATCCTGACAGAAAGATTAGAACATGGGGATGACTTTTCAGCCCATAGTGAAAATGAAGTTTGATTCAAACTTTCTAGAGGGCAATTTATAACATGTATCAAAAACTCTAGAATATTTTTGCCTCTTTATTCAGCAATTTCATTTCTAGGAACCAATTATAATGAATTAACCAGAGAATGTTGGCTAAGTTTTATATGTAAATATGTCCAATCAAACATTATTTGTAAAATTTAAAAAATGGAAATAAATTTTCTGTAGTATATTGTTGGACAAATGAGTTATAGGGCAGACATAATGACAAAATTACTATATATGTAATAAAAGGGTTGGTTTAGAAAAACAATAACATAGGGAAATCATTGTGATTTATAGTTAAGGAGGAAATCAGATTATAAATATAAAATCATCCAAGTCAATCCAGTTTTTGAAATGGTGTGTAACAAACAGGATTTCAAGTGTTTTGTGTACTTTATTTGTTTTATCCCTCTGTGACATTTTGTAGGATAAGTACTTATGTGCTTTTTTTTTATGAAAAGAAAGGTTATTTGCAGGTAACAACTTTCTGAAGAGAACAAAGCTGGGTTGTCCAGACCTTAACTTAGCCCATTCCATTCTAAAGTTTCAGCTCTTGACAAGTGCATCTCCACTTTTCAAAGAGAAGACACTTCAAGGTGATACCAAGAGATGTGCAAGTAAAATCACTCCCCCGCAGAAATAAGATTGTCAGTTACTCACTAAGTTTCTTTTTTACAGTAGAACATTGCACAGCCCTTGACACACTAGTGTTTATCTTAAAGTGGAGTTCCCAAACTTCCTAGATGAGATAATCCTTCTTTTCCAGGGAAGGAGCAGTTACTGGAAGTAGGCACAATTGAGAAGGATGACCTATGCTAGACTAGCATATATAGGACCTTACAAAAATATATAAAAAAACAATATTGAAAGAGCTTATAGTACAGCATCTATAGCTTTTGTCTCTGGCTAGTGGGCTTGCAAGTAATATTAATTTGCATTGGTATTTTCCAAATTTCTTAGAATGAGTACAATATAATTTTATTACGTTAAAGATAAATTTTAAAGAAAGTAAAAGGAAAACTCATTTTCTTTGATTTTTCCTTTGTTCACATGGCGTAGGCTACAACCTCTGTGTAGATGACTTTACTTTTGCATTTCTAGATCTGTTTCTCCAACATTATGATTATGTCAGCTGCTCATGTTTCTTGAATGGTCCACTGTACTAATGGAAACCCAGCATGATGTCCTCCACTATTTTTCCTTCCCCTCTTGCCTTGATCTCCCTCCTTCTCTGTTAAGAGTGTGATTGTTTTTAAATGCTTCTATGATAAAATCTCCTGAGCTTTTTGTTTGCCTAGTCCCAGTCTTCTATCATGTTCACTTGATTTTCCCTCCACAGTTCTCTTAGGACCACTCTTTGGCTCCAGCCTATTGTAATGAACTTAGTCCATTTTACCATTATTTAAAATGTCTAAAATACTGTTTTCATTATGTCCCTTTCCTCCTTAGAATCCTTCACCCACACTTTTTCCTGCTTTCTTTCCTGGCACAATCAACAACTTTTTCTGCTCCTGTTAAATCAGTCTCCTCACAAATCCTTAAGTCTGTTTATTATTCCCTGATCTTTAATTTATTGTTCATTCTCAACTTTAGACCTTTAGGAATGTAGTTTTCTCTCCTACAATACCTTTGATTCTTTCCTTGGCCTTTCTGAATTCTTTATGCAAGTCATGATATGAGTACCCCCATCCCTTACACCCATCTGTGTCATACTTTCTGAAAATTATTTTCTGTTAGGTCCATATAATCTGTCTGGAAAGACATGATCCACATGCTTTATGATGTGACAGAACAGTGATATAATCAGAGGAACCTAGGGCAGCAATGAAAGCAATTTAAAAGTAATTTAAATTATTTTATAATTTAATACATATTTAATAATATATTTAATAATTTTATTGAAGTCGTTAGACATGGCATTGGAAATTCCTAGACCATCACCATATGACTTTAAAAATATGTACTTTTAATCCATTTCTCCTACCTATATCAGCTATCGTTGTATCTCTTTACCCCCAAATTATCTTTTAAAACTCCATTCTTCCCCTTAGCAACTAAAATGAACTGTTCAGGGACATACATGGGTTGCAAGATGACAAACTAAAAATACATTAGCTTTATCTTTTTTGAAAAGGGAAAGCTGAGAGGAGAGGTGATTGGAATAGCTAATATTATGAAGGATCTTAGTAATTAATTCCTCTATTTGTTAATATCTATTCATTGTTTCAGAAAGGATTTGAGTAAGCTTTCAATAATATTAAATAAATTAGGATAATTAATTAAAAGTAAATAAGAAGGAAGAAAAAGATAAAGAAAGAGGACATGAAATTAAGGGTTAAAAATGTATAAATATCTCTATGAATCATAACTTTGTCTATAAGTTTACTAGTGAAAATATAAAGTATATGGAAAAAAACAGAATTTTTTATGTTCCTCATAATCCTGGGAATAGAATATATAAGACTTGACTTTAGGGAATATAAGTGTATTTTCAAAGCATTATAAAATGCTACATTCATTGTCCCTAGCCGGGGGTATAGACTGACAATATGAGTTTATTTAGATAGAGTAATCAGTTTCATACTAGATTAAACTAAGGCATGTTGAGAATATACCAATCTCAAAGTTAATACTATGACACTATTCCGTGCTTTCATATAAATATTCAAGCAAGAATACTGTCTTAGTCACTTAGAGTATATTATATTATAATGCTTTTTATTATTTTTCAAACTTTCATCTTCATGTGATTCTTTAAAGATTTGAAATTTTTTTTAGTTCTTTCTTTGCCAAGTAGGTAATAACTTCACATTGAATCCAAGAAGCATAATCAGTGTGAGTAAACAGTATTCATTTCCTTTATGAGGACAATATGATGTTTTGATTCATGGCCAGTCCAGCCATAGATGTTTCTTTCAACTGTTTTTTGTTGTTGTTGTTTTGTTTCTTTAATGCTTTTACTTAATGTAATCCTAGTTGGAGGTCATAGAGCTTTCTCCTTACTGAATATATTAAGGTACCTTTGGCTCTATTAAGTATTAGGTTCACCAAAATGTATTTATTCTTTTCTTTACTAAATGCAATTTATAAAATTTCTCCATGTAAGGCATCATGATGAGTATTAACAGTGAGGGAAGAGACAGATTATGAAGTTTAGGACAAATCCCTTTTCTCAAATTTTGCATATTGGTGAAGAATACAGCCTTAGTTACATACTTGATAACAGTACACAATTTCATTGTCTGCTTCCTCCATCTTGAGATACTCTCCTGATTTCCTCCTGAAATAGACTCTCAATTTTCTTCTTCCATTTTTCTTGCTGTTTCTCTATCTCCTTGTAGGTTCCTGTATTTTAATCTTGCCATTAAATATTGACTATCCTTAGTGTTCTATCAAATAACCTTTTAAAAGTGGTGTTATCATTCCTATGGCTTCCTGGATTTCCTGCGTGCCCTGTTCTATTCATATCTCTAATTTTAACCTCTACTAAGACTACAGAACTA